AACATCCGCAACAATGAGAACTGGTAGCGCCTGTCGACGAAAGGGTCAAGCCACATCCTCAAGCTCTCAAAGAGCACTGCGCGAGAGCCGAGGTTCGAAAGGAAGACACGAAGTGCGACATTTGCGCCCTCTGTTCACGCGTGAGTTAGACACGGTCGTGCACTGTGTTCCCGATCGCAATCGTGTACACTGCTAGTTTAATACGCTAATAGCTAAAGAGCGTAGGGCTAGGGACCATCGCCAAGGACCTTGGAAGGCGTTGCTCAAATGGTGGATCCTGGCAGCCCAATACAAAATAAAGTTTAATCAACTCAACTCAAGTGGACTTTGGTGCTCTCGTTAAAAGTGACAGAGAAAGAAGGAAGAAAAGTCACTTTTAAGTGCGAAGGCGTACCTTAAAGTACATACCCGTAAAATGTACTTTGGATAAGTTACATCTCCTTAAGATATATTGCCGGGTCATATTTCGCTGCTTCCATTCGTTGTAGGCTGTGTGTTCTGGGTGCTACTGCCGCATCTCGAAGGCTCCGTTTGCGGGTGCCTGTGGGCCACCCCAGACAGTCCTTTCGACCAAGTTAGTGGTATTGAGGCCATACGGGTCGCCGTCAACCATGACTTTACGGCCATCATACACGGAATCGTCCACGCGTGCTTTTTGATGAAATCAAGCCTCCTCCATCCATCTATAGACTCTGTGCCGACTGTTCCAAGCGCGACACACTTACATCCGTCCCAAGAACATCGCGTCTGCGAACCAGGCGAGCTCACTCACCCGAAACCAAAATGCTTACAGCTCTTTCACCTCTTACTGAAGAATGAAAGCGAAGGGACTGTTGCATGAGCAGCTTCAACGTGTGCCTGAAGGTGCCACCAGGAACATCGCTTGACATAGAGAAGAGAACGGCTTTACACACGCATGGAGGTAGTGTGGCGGGTGCTTAATTTACGGCACCTCCTGTCTTTCTCGCCTGGCCGTTTTCTGACAGGAACCAGCGTTGCGGCGGCGGCGACGTAATAAAAGAGGGCGCAAGGAATAGCGAAGCAAGGAAACGAGTGAAGGCGAGGTTCGGGGAGGCCCCCCCGCTGAGTGCTGACGTCAGTGATGACGTGCACTATCATCACCTCCTCTCCATCGTCCGCCTCTGCTCCTGTACTTTCTCTCCTCTCAGACGGCGTCTGCGGGGCCTTTTTATTTCAGTTTAGCGAAGATTAAAGGCTGAAACATGGAGAGAGAGCGCGTGTTTTTGTTTCGTTCTACAAGGCTCCCATGATGAGTCTTTCGTCTCTCCTCGTGTTGCCTTAGAAAATAGTGGGATCGAGTTTTAAGCTCTTAAGAGCCTCAACGCCGTCACCGCTCGTTGACGCACTTTTCGCTCATAGAAGATGAGAAAACAAGGAGCGACTCGAGTTGCTCAAAGCAAGCATCAAGGTGATTTCTTTGTTTCTCTTCAGACGTAGACTACATGAGTGAGACGCGCACGGTAAGCAGAATGAGACGCGTACGTCATCAGACGCGCACAGTATATGAAGAACAGCTTGCATTGCGTGCTGTGCGCATGCGCGAAGAGGGGAAAACAAATGTTGTTCTCTTGTTGGTAGCCGCGTCGCGTTGACTGTGCGTCTTGATGACCTCAGTATGTGGAACGGAACGGACCTGATGCCGCCGGCATTGCGTGGACATTGCAAGGAGCCATCACTGGGACAGGGCGCCGCTGGTGAAAGGCCAGTAAGAGCAATGGAAAGAGCCGGCTTTCAACGCTGGTAGGAATCGTCGTAGAAGCACTCTGGGAAAGTTGAGTTTTGTCTTCAGTGCGCCAACAGACAGTGTCAAAAATTGTTAGGCAGTGTCAGACAGTGTCAAGCTCAGGTCATCCTCTCCACACTCTAACAATGTCTCTCTCTCTCTCTCTCTTACTCACGGTGATATTATGAAAACTTCTTTTTTATATAAAAGAATACTATTGAGTGTATTAGTTCACCCCCTGTCATGGCCGGGGATTGAAGCCATGCGCTCGCGCTACATCGCCAATTCTGACAGATTCGTGGTTTCTCAAAAAATCCAGGCATCTACTCTACAAACTGATGCAGATCGTGTGGCGAGATTGCCACGCTTAGTCGCATGTTGTGGCAGTGTCAGGGCCGACTAGAAAGTTTGAACAGTGTCGATTGATCCGTCTCTTCAACTGCCAGCCTCCACTCGCGCTGAAAGACCGCACTGCTCAGTCCGGACCTACACACCATAACTCTGAGCCGTCCATTATGTCGAGGAAGCCCCTATACGAGATAAGCTGTTGGGCACCACATCTGCGGAAGGAGCCCAGGCCTTCTAAAAGGACCCTAGACTTTAATTTTATTTGTTTTGCAATAAATTCTACGTTGTTATGAAAATTGAACCGTTATAGTATCGCACATTTGCTGTACTGTGCGTCTTTCGTTCACCGAAACGCATTTCTAGGCGATGTTATTCATCGGCGTCTTGGACAAGTGAGAACCAGGGAAAGGCGAGCCAGTGATGAGACAGTTGTGAGCGCTGCGTAGGAAGCGACCGCCACGGGAGAGCAATGCGGTGATATTTATGAACTGGGACGGGGGAGGGCTCACGCCCGTGGCCTCTGCCGACTCGTATATCGGGCCCCGCATCTCCAGCCATGGCCGGGATGTCGCAAACCGCAGCCCTGGCCTCCGCGAATGCAGTTACGAAGAGATAGCACCCCGTGTATTGCAACCGCGCGCCCGTCTGTCTATGACGGGCACAGTGTCGTGGAACACGCGTCTGAAGATACAACTATTGCACGAGTTTTAGCACGCGTACGGTACAAGAACAGGGAAAGACGAGTGGCAGGAGATTTTGGCCTTTTTCTGTACTGTGGAGCGACTTTTCGTGGTTTCGTACGCATTTCGGCAGGTCGCCGAGTTCGACCCAAATCTAAGAACTCGCAGGGCCCCGTGTGCTTCAGAAAGTATTAACTGCGCATGCAAGAGTAGGACACGGCATAGGATGAACAGAGGTCTGTCCCGTAACCTAATATTGTGTATACGCGCTGTTATAACTTTCTAATATGTCAAATGTGCCGAAGTTTCAACTCTTCGAATCCGCGTCCCTCATGCATTGCCCTACATAACATATCTCGAAGGCAAACCGAGATGGTGTGGTTATTTTACCATCCACTATATACCCCGCGAACGCGGCCTTTTCAATTTTTGATATCTAGGCTATAGCCTTGATATGAATAAATGGTTAAGGTAGGTGGTGGCCCTCAGGTCCGCACGAAGTTCGCGCGCCTCATTCCACCAGTGGAGCAGTTGGTCACGAAACACTGTTTTTACCCCCTTCTCACGTGCTTAAGGCTCCAGCCTTTAATTTCTTATCTTAAGGCTTCACACTTCATCATCATCATCATCATCATCATTTATTTACCCTTAAAGGCCCCTGTTGGGGTATTATATAAGTGGGGAGCGTACAAAAAAGAAAAGGAACGTTCAGTCATTAATAAAGCAAAAAAAAGAAAGGCACTGTGAGGCTGTCCTTGAAAGGCGCTACGAGTCAGTCCTTTCTTCATAAGCAGACTTCCGCATTGCTCGCCATGCAACCACCGAACCTAAATCCTAGGTGCTAGGTTTTTTAGTCATTGCTGAAACAAATGTTCCCCTACAGCATACGAATGACGTTATCTCGGTATTGAAGGGCCCTCGCCATTGAAGGAATCATCAAATGGTGGACGAGATGATTGATTACTTTACAGACGCTCATTCGCCTCCAAGAAGTGTTCTGAGATGGCGTAGATGTCGGTCGCGATAACTTGATGCACCGGGATCTGGCAGCGAAGTCCACGACGGCCTCTCCATGCGGAGGAGCGTCTACCCGACTGCCTGTGAAAAGCGTCGCGTTTTGTGCGACCGATTCGGGCCGTTACCTTTGTACAATGAGCTTCACTGTACGCGCATCGCAGAAACGTGGAATTTCTGGTGTGATCTGGATACGCCGTGCAAGCATGTGAGGAGTATGCTCGAAGAGTATACGTTCATGGTCGTGGAAGAATTCCCAATGCTACAGGTTTCTGGAATCTAAATTGTATCGCATGCGATAGGTATATAGTAGACGAGGGTGACTCATGGTCAAGAAGACCGATGGCGAATTACCTGACTTGTTGCGTATACCTTATACTTACCCAGAACAGGGCCAGGAAGAAATGACAGCCAGCATGTCCACGAAAGGCATGGGCGAAGAGGAATAAACTTCATTGAGAATCGTCAATTTCAGTGGCGCTGCTAGGCCATCCACGTTGGCGGCGTATAGCGGCAAGACTGTGTTTAGATAATAAAGTCACAGTATCGGCGCTGGGAATAGTCACTTTTGGGAGGTTCTTAATAGGCTTAGCGATAACCCGGTATATGTTAATCTCGGTGAACGCTACGTATTTTCTCATTAACTGGTTCAATTGTGTGCATTTGGGCTCAGTTTTACGGAACTGCTCGGTATAGGAGTTTTTTTTTTTCACCAGAAGATCAAACGATGAACAACTAATGACAGACGTCGAGAAGCGACTGCTAACTACCACAGCTTTTTGAAACATGTCATTCATTTTCTGGTGGTTTCCACCAGCCAAAGCTGTCCAGGTCCTCTTTTCATGGGGAACCTCTTCTCATGGGGAACAACGAAAGAACTATGAAAGCTCGTGCTGTGCGCATGTGCTCTCTATGTATCGCAGAGGTGTGTCTTTGCAATAAAACAGAGGGTTCATATAAAGTCATCAATTAAAAATAACGTATTCAAAATACACATAGAACAACAAAAGCATTCGATCTCTGGCAACGGTTAAATGTTGTTGCTGGACAAGGAAAGTATGGGCTCCAATACGTCTACCGACTCTGACTCGTTAGGTGACCGAGACTTACCTCCCTCCAGCGCAGGGTAATTGAATGCAAAGCGCGCGTGAGATGACAGCGCGTGATATGATTGGCTGTCTTTATATGATGACGTTGTGTCTTGTGTTACGCAGGCGGTGACGATGAGCAAGCGCGAGGTGCTCGCCCTGCTGGTCGTGTTCATCGTGTACGTGGTCATCGGAGGCGCCGTCTTCATGGCCGTCGAGGGTCCCCGGGAAGAGGAACTGCGCAGCGAGATCGCGCAGCTCAGACTCGAGTTCCACGGTACGTATGTATACATGCACCACTGTATAAGCGTAGGCGCACGCTCGGCCAGAACAGCGCTCACTATATAAGTGCATGATAGGTCCTCGCGATGGCACAAGGCTGCAGGTTTTCCTTTCTGAACTTACGCCCGCTATATCGCCTGTGTGTTTAGAAAAAAGAAATGGCAGCAAATCCATGGGGTGAATGATGGAGAGTGGGGCGAAGCATCCGTCCGTCCATTCGTTCTTGCTTTCGTTCATCCGTGCGTCCGCCTGTGTGAACGTCCACGCGTGCGTCTGTTCGTGCGTCCGCACGTCCATCCGTGCGTCCATGTCTGCGTTCGTCCATGCACCCACCCCTGCGTCCGTCCATGCGTCCATTCGTCCGTGCAGCCATCTGTGCGTCCGTCCATGCATCTGTCTGTGTGTCCGTTCGTCCATCAAGTCAACACTCCAAGTGCCACCATATCGCATCTTTTCATTTTCCGCATATAGAAGCACCGCCATTTAACGGTGTGATGGTTAACGGACGTTCCTCACTATGTTTGTCGATAGCGGACGAGAAACGATTGACATGAACTTTTTATTTCATGGCATGGGTGGAACGGCTGACGGCGCATGGATACGCTACCGTGTGCAGCGCCGTTGAGTCGGACGTCGCGGCCAACCCAGCAGTTAGGGTCGCAACTCCGGAGGTCCAGGATCAGGCCACGGCTCACGAGGACCACACCCGGTAGGCCTCGCCCACGAACCTGCTCCCGGCCACTGCACCCAGGCAGGAGCCGTTCGGCAGGTCTCGGCCTTGGACGTTGAACAGACACACCGGAGCTCGACCTGGCCGACACGTACGGATCTCACGTCCGGCTCAGGAACGCTGCCAGGAACTCGTCCTCTCGAGCGGCGCAGCGCTTCCTCTGCCTTCGTGGCCTCAACCCTCGAGCTCTCTTTTCCGCACGTTCCTTCTTCTTGGCCAGGGCACCGCCAGGTACCTTCGGGTGCACACTGCAGCTCATGAGCTTGCGGCCCACGTCCCCGGAGAGACTGGTGCGTCGCTCGGTACGGCTCGGCACCGCTCGGCGATCCTTTATTCAGCCAGAACTCCCCTGGCACCTGGATCCTCGGCCACCCTGAACCTCGCCCGGCTCCGTGCTCCTCTGTGCGCACTCCCGCGTCTCGCCCGGCAGAACATCTCGCTCGTCCCTTGCCGAAGTGCGACGCTCTGGTGACACCGGCGCTTGATGGCATGGGTGCGGCCACGGAGCAGTCAACCCGCATCGGAGACGCGATGCTCCATGCGGGGCATGGCCAGCCCGTCCAGCGAAGAGCGTGCGCCGAGACGCGATGCTCGACGCAACCGTGACCATTAGCCAGGCCACGTTCATCGCTGTGTCGAACGGCTGACCGTGGAGACGCCTCGCCGAGATCCGCGATGCCCTTGGCAAGGAAGAGAACAGCAGGCCAGGCCGCGCCCCGAGATGCAGTACTCGTGCCGGCAACGCCGCCCCAGCTGGTAGTTGGACGGCAGTAGCGTGGACGGCCGCGTTCCCTGGCCGGAACCTAGATCGCCTGCGTCCGACGCTTCGGCCCGCTGTCTCCCGTCTGCCGCTGCTTCGGCTCGTCCCCAGCCACAAAGCTTACCGCCACGTGATGGTCGCCCGTGGCCCAATCGTAGCACGCCACCTCTATGGGCCACCACAGGTCATCAGCTAATTCGCTGACACTCACGCGCACATTACACGCGCCTTGCCCCGCACTTCCGTCGTTGTCGTTTTCTTCACTCATCACAAACGGACATTCCAAGGAATAAATGAGAGGTGGCACACGCACACTTTCTTACGGCTTGCGCTTCTTGTCTACTTCCCACCTTTAGCCACCTCGAGTTCATGGTATATACTAGTTCAGTCTATTCATCGCACTGCGGCCCAACGCTCGCTAAACCTTTCTAAAACCAAGGAGGTTACGCCCAGCGAGTATAACGTAGCAACCCTTTCTTGTTAGATAGTGCCCATTGTACATGTCAATGGCTGTTAATGGGGAATGAGAGACAGGAGAATTCGGCTTTTAGTTAACGCGCACGCTGCGAATTGTTTTGTTCAACGACGCACAGGACAAATCTCCCACCGGCACCACCTTGCAGGTCAAAGCTTAAGACATGTTACGCACTACTACGAAGGACGAACGGGTGCTGCTTTAGGGAGCTTCGCCCACAAAAAAAAAATTCAACAATTTCGAGTACTTCGTACTCGAACAATGGGAGAGCAGTGAGCCGTCCCGATTCTCAGAAGTGCTGAAAAGGAGACACAAAGTCACTTTCCTCAATAGTTTAACTATTCAGAGTACTTCGTACTCAAGATGCCAGTGCATTAAGCCACAGGTTTCATACGATGGCGTTCATACGATGGCGCAGATTTCAGTCATGGCGTTCTGCGGCATGGTCGTGCTGGCCAAGATATATTCGCAACAGTACTGCACTATATTTAAATGCCGTGGCAGCCACACCGACCTGTTCGGCATGGTCCGGTCCCACCTGTCAAGTATGGTGAGAATAATGCAGCCGATGTGGCGCAATGGAGGATCTGTACAGCCCAGCTCTCGAGGAACAACGGAGCCTCGTGGAGCGCGCGTGGTTTGCAGCTCGGTCCAGCTGAGTCCCGGAATAGGGACCATCCCGATACTCTCTACCAGTCACTTCAGTAGGCGATGCAATATCTGCAATACACGTTTTATTCATTCATTCTTTTCTGAAGAGTGGAACTAAGAAATTCGAGAGTCCTGAACTTCTTTTCTGTTGCGTTTGGAAGGACAAAGAAATAAAATGAAAAGTGGTATCCGCACCTAACGGTGAGCGCGGCAACCGTTCACTTCAACGGAGCAGGAAACGCGGGAGCCGAGCAACCCGGGCTTGCCGCCGGGCGATGAAACGTTAAAGCGGCCGGCTCGGCGGCTTTGCTTAGCTTAGCTTGGCGCGTCCCTCCACGTCGTGACGTCAATAGCCCACGCAGTAGTCGTCTTCTGGGTAGCCTTGTTCCACGGCGGAAGCCAACGGCACGCGAAGAATCGGAGCACGTAAAGGTGAGGAAGGAAAGAGGAGGGGGTTTGGGGGAGATGTCCTCTTCCGTCAACGCCCGCTTCTCAGAGGTGTTGGTTCTTCACAGTCGCTGAGAGATACTCGCGTGACACCGGATGACGTCGGTGCGAACCCGGCACCAGTCCTCTTGACCGAACCGCGACTCGCGTTGCACGCTACCGAAGCGCGCAATAGCAACGGGCAAGCTTTGAGCTGACAGACATGGGGATATTGTATGGTGAATTACACTCAAGGAGAAGTTGCTGTGCTATGTGAAGTTCATAGTTGCGCAGTGCATACTTCTAACACCATGTAGGAGGAGGAAGAGTTTTTATTCAAGGTCCGGTGAGTTGGTGAGGGGCCAATGGCCCCGCCTAGGTTGCAGCCAGGATTCCTTGAATCCTGGCAGCTTCCGAGGCTCGCTGGACGAAACAAGACCAAATGAAAAGATGGAGGATGACGTGATTGGGCTGTCCTCGGAAGGCGGTGGTAGTCACATCATCTCTCACTGTTCCTTTCTTACTCAATACTATCCAACGCTCTTCCATCTACTCCAGCACACCCTCCCCCATTCATCCTCTAAACCACATATCATTACTCTCGATTAGTTTCCAAACCATCTATATCTTTCTCCTCATCCAAATCTCCTACCTGACCTCTCTTCCAAATTCCAACCCCAAACCTGCGGTACAGCAGTGGAGCAGGCGGGCCCTCCCATGGCCCTCTCACGTCCTGTCCCTGTCCTCGGCAGGTCAACGTCCTCTGACGCCTCCCCTGGTGATTCGCTCGTGGTGCCTCTCCTGGGTAAGAGTAGGGCCCTGTAGCACCCGCAGCAGATCTTGCCTATCACTCGGTCTGGGGCTCTTTCTGCCTTATACTTTTGGGGCACTATACTTGATGATCGTAACGTGGCGCACCGTCCTGTGGCGAACTCTTGCATCCCCAAACGAGTTAGTCTCAGGGTTTCACGGAGGCGTACGGGCTTCAGAACTGCCAACAGAGGCAAATAGTTGTGCGTAACAACGAACGCGATTCCATAAGTTCTAAAGGTAAGGCCAGGGAAGCTGCTAAGAGGCAGGGTATCTCGGCTGCAGCTCCTAGGCGGGAACCCCGCACGAAAACCAATAGTAACTGAACTATGTTATTCACTCATTCACACTCCCTGTGGTAGACCTTCTGTTAGGAATACGTCAGTGTTACATTCAGGATAACGACAGAAGCGACACGGGCGACGGAAGAGCGTTAACGAGAAGGAGTGTCTTGGAAGAATGCGAATGTGACGCGAAAGACGTGGAAGAAGGAAGGCTCTTGAAAGGGTGCAGCGAGGAGCCACGAACGACAGGAATAGACGGAAGACCGACTTAGCTGTGACACTGCGAACAACAAAAGACGCTGAATGCCGGGATGAGAGAGACAATGCACCGGTTCGAGAAAGAGGCAAGAAGTATAACGGTCGCGCGCGCGCTCTACGGATGTTTTTTTTTCTCGGTGAGTACACGCACATACAAATGCCACGCACGCACAAGAAGGGACACATGTGGTATATATATATACGCGCGTACGAGGCCGCTATTCACGAACCGCTGGATTGCTATTTCTGAACTCTGGTGCTGCTTACTCCCCAGCAGCATCTGCCCCCAAGAAGCTGAAAAAAAAGAAGAAAGAAAACAAGTTGAAAAGAAGTTTATCCTAACGCCTTCTCCAGGCTTCGCGTGTTGCAGGAGTCCTGTCCTGCTGCTGCCTTTTACGCCTTCTCGCGGCAAGACCTCGCCGCTCAGGAAGTTGCCTCTGTTGGAGCTGTCGGGACGAACAAGGAGTGCGATTACACCACACCGAGCACGCCGTTTTGAGTCGACAAAAAAATATTAACTCAAATAATAACCCTGGCGCATTCGCCTTGGACGAATCGAAGGCGTAAATGGTCTGGTCCGGCTATGTTAACCGTGTGTTTT